CTTCCGCAAGGAGGCTCAAGCGTGGATATTACAGGAGCAGCTAAGAAATTCTTGTACACGGTCAGCCAGGGTTTTAATTTTGGATCGGAAGATGGCAGTCGCATCTGTGCAAGGACTGCTAAACCTTCATTAAGGTATATTCTGGCACTTTTTTGGGTGTGCCACCTACCCTGCACCAGGATTTTATCCAGGCTTTGGTGCTTCTGAAAAAAGAAAGTTGCTCCTCCCCTTCTCAGGGAGTAGGGTCTAAAGCCCATCTCAGAAATGCCCAGCCCCTCTAGGCATTGGTTGAACAGGTGTCTCCACTTCGCTGGAGAAGGGGTCAAAGGTGTGCTCGGGGAAGCACGCTTCTTCCAAAGGCGCAACAGCTTCACGACAGGCTCGTACCCTAGTACGACACTCTCAGACGCCCCATGGCGTTTACCACCCTTAGTGAGGCCCAAGCTTACGAGGGCTTGCAAAGCATGGGGTCCACATTCAATGTGGGAGGACAGGAGTCCGAGGATTTCACCCGTCCTCAACATGGCATAGAAACCAATGAGGAGTGACATGGCGAAAGAGATCCATCCTTTAAAAATTGCCCATCCGACCATCGCGTGGAGGATATGTTCTGCTAAGGGCGGAGCACGACTTGGGATCTCGTTTTGGTGCCATGCTTTCAGGAGCCGCCAGGCTGCCGGAAGACGATGTCGAAGGCCCGGCTGCAAGTCTTGCAGTCCGGCGAGCGTATCACATGCAAGTCCACGTCCTTTTCCCTGAAACCAGAGATGCTCCAGGTAGTCGCAAACAAGTGGGTCCATCTTGTCACGGGAAGTGGGGAGAGCCAATCCTTCATCTCGTAAGAAAACCAAAAACTGATCAACTGCCGCATTGTACCGCTTTCGAGTGCCTGGTTGCACCGTTAAAGACTTAAGGCTGCCCAACTGCCGTCTCTGTTTTGCCCGCTCTGCTTCCGATCCTCCCTCAAGAATACGTTTAGGCATTCCTAAACTTGGTCTTGACACGCCCCCCCCACCGACTGGGCTTGTCGGCAGGGTTGGTGTCAGTCGACACGTAACCCCAAACCATCTGTGAGGAGGATGCCAGGAGCAGAGCGTTGATTCGGGACATCGTGCTCCGAAGTTTCTTGGAGCTCGTGCGTCCACGAGTGAGGGCATGGAGACAAACCAATGAGTCCGTTAGGTGCAACATGCGGTAACCAAAGTGCTTTTGCTTTTCCAGACGCCATCGCAAGGAATTCAAGATGGCACGCAGCTCCAGACAGTTGATGTGTTCTCGTCCTCGGGTCCAACGCCACCCCGACACGACTTGCCATCGCCAGAGGCGAGCCGGTACTGAGGCTCTCAACCGGTGGAACTTGACCAGCAGGGTGCTGGGCGTCGTCAACATAATGTCTTCTCCCTTGAGGGAAACCAGATTGCACAGTTTGCAGGCCAGACTGTAGGGATCACCCGTGCCGGGCTTGGTACGCGACAGGGGCAGGCGGATCAGCCGTCCTTGCAACGACTCCGATGCCCCCGGCTTGCAACGATTCACAATGTCTTGAGGATCAAGCTTCCGATAGAAACCCAAAGGCCACAGTAGCTGATTGAGAAGCCAAGCAATTACTGGCACACTCCAACTGTTTCCCAGAAGCGTGAGTCGTGTGTCACTGTACTTTGAGCCCTTACGGTCATGTTTACCTGAGCACGGTGCCGTGTAATGAAGGGGAAACCCTAGGATCACCTCTCGTTCCGCCACGGAGGGCACACGCACAATGTTCTTCCGGTTGATCACGCCGTGCTTGTCAATGTATTGGTATGGCGGGAAGCGGTGAAGGTCTTCCTGCCATCGAGCAAGCTCGTACGGCTGACATTCGTGTAGCCCTGCAGGTCTGCGCCCCGGCCTCTCGGACGGCCTGGCTGTGGTGAAGGTGGGGAAAGCCCTCTGGCAATCCACTTTGACCCATCCTGGCTCTAAGACCTCTCGGACGTCCTGCTCAGCCGTCAATTCCCAAGTCTCGAGTTCAGCTCCCCGGGACATAGCGGCTCCACGGCCTGCTGCCAACTCCCAGGTAGTCCAGTACAGCCTGGGACGATGGCACCAAGTCATCTTGCCAGCATCAATGCTGACGGGCGGCCCCCCGAAGTCCTCAGACATGATTATCCTATCCTGGCGGTCCATGGAGGCGACGGACTCCATGAGAGCATGGGTGGGCGCCCACTTGAAATAGCGCTTCACCAGCTCTCGAATGCGACTGACATGGACGAACAGACATGACCGAGCGTCCTTCAAAGCCCCCCGTCTGTCGGAGTTGAGCCCGGAGACTCCCTGACAAGGGGGCCCTCCGCCAATGATCACCAGCGTGCATTGCGAAAACCTCAAGCTCCAGCCATGAACCATCTCCTCATCAACTTGTGCCACATCGTCCACGCACAACACGCCTGGGTAGTGCGCCTCAACCACGCGGTTGGCATGCTTGTTTGATTCAACTGAGATGTAACCGCCAACGTGGACCCCTTGAAGATCCACTGCAACACGTAGTGCCCCGATTCCATCGAACAGCCCGATGACCAAGATCTGCTGATCGTCGAAGGGGGACGGGACCTGACCTCTAAGGTGACCTTTCTCCGCCAGGACTCCCACGTCACTCAGCCCCTTTGAGCAGCATACTCCTCCGCCAGTCGTTGAGGCATCACTGCAAGTGACCATAGGGTGTACGTCACCCCGAAAATCCATCCACACCAGTGGCAGCATTCCAAGAAATCGCAGTATCTCCAGCTTACACTCAGTTGGGACTGGCTGATAACGGGGGGTCTCATCATTGAAGGACTCAATGAAGCGCCACACACTGTTCAGGGTTCCCAGAAGTTGTCTTCTGAACATGGAGAAGTAGACGAGCCCCCCGCAGACCACCTGCATCTGACGCTGTGACACCCTTGTTTGGCGGGTCAAATCCAACGCCATACTGAAGTACTTCTCTAGCTTGCTCTCTTTTGGAAATGCCAGCCCCAGCACCCCATCGATAGTTGCCCCCTGAAGTTCACACCTCGACGACCTCGCAACACCCTTCTTAGCATTTCTGGGCACATCCCACTTCTCATATTCCGCTCTTAGTGCCAACACCGCGGGAGGCACCGTACCCTCGAGCTCTACCATCCCCGATGCAGAGACCTTTTCAAGCAGATCATAGTTATCGAGGTAGACTCTCCAGCACGGATTGGCAACCGTGAACGACCGGTCTTTTCGAAGCTCTTCGCTTCCCCGATTGACCTGCCCATCTTCACCCCCAGACCAACTCACCAAGTTCCGGTGCACGTTCTGGGCGAGGCTGACGGAGTTCAAAAACCCCATGGGCAGGACCCTCGACGCCAAATAGACAGTGTGTCCAATGAGGTGACTTGGAAGGACTTCTTGGGGTACAACTTTGTTGAAGGCGAGGAACTTCACCCACTCATTTGGCACCTTCATAGTGTAAAAGAAACACTTCACATCTTCAGAAGACACCAAAAGGTTTTCACCAGGTTGAAGAAACAGTGGGTTCATCATCCCCCATGAGGGCAAAGTGTCAACGTCTCCCACCAACGATTCACTGATGTTATTGAGAGGCACTAGATTCATAATCAGACGGCAAATCTCAATGTTGTCCTCCGTCCACTCGTCCTTTGATACGCCAAAAAGGCCGTTCAGGAGTGGACCACTCCCGGTTTGGAAAACCCGCTCGCTCTCGAGGTAACAACAAATGCCAGAAGATACCAGTCCAGTGCACATTGCCCCCCAGTATTGGTCTTCAATCATAACCCTAGGACTCTTGATGCTTCCCCAAAGATGCTTAGGCTTGATGTACGAGTCAAACGACAGCACGTACTCCCGGCAGCCTAAGGAGCAAACCTCTTCCAACGGTACTGCTCCAATTTCCTTTGGCAAAGCAGGGGCGATGTTCTCCCAAGTTATCCACTTAGCAACCTTGACCTCATCTCCTTTATAGTCGATGGCTCTAATCTTGAAGAAAGATGTCCAATTAATACCAACCGTCCGAAGCCCCAAACCACAGAACCGCTCGACCTCCACGACCAAACGATTCAAGACAATCTCCTGGGTGTCAGTGACCTCACCATCATGTCCAAAACAAGTGCCCCAGTAGCAGTTCAAAGAAATCACCATGCAAACCATCCAATCCAAAACCCTTGGGCTCTTGTTGGGCCAAAGGTCTTCAAAACGATACCTGGAGGTGGGTAGTGGAAAAATATCGGAAGGGGATTCCACACCCGTGAGCTTGCTGCGAAGTGGTAGTACCTCCAGGAGTTGTTGAAGGACGATCGAACCCAACATCGAAATCTCCTGCCCCTGAGCTCCCATGCAAAAAACGTCTTTTTCGCCTGATAGCGGACTTGCCATCACTGGCGGTGCCTGGCCCTCGACGGCTTCAAATAGCGGAGGGCTCGGAGGAAAATTCAAATCCGCGGCCTTCAACAAGATGGCCTCATCAGCTGACCGATTTACCACGGCCGCTGGCACAAAAGGTCCTTCCTCATCTAGGAGACCCCGCTCATGTTCAGCCACTGAGCACTGGCCGCATGAGCTGCTCTCCCTCATACTTTTCAACTCAACTGCAACTGCCAGCTCCTGTCCACAGGAGCTCACTTCGTGGCCGAGTCCTCCTTCGGCCGCCCCTTCTCCTTGCCGCTCGACTTGCCCTTGCCCTTCTGCCTGGACTCCTCCTTGCCTTTGCTGCTGCTCTTGCCCTTTGGACGTCCATCCGGGAGCGCTGCCAGCTGTTTGGCTTTCGACTCCTCGTAGGCCGCACGTTGCGCTGTGACCATCTCCTCCCTCCCTGCCATAGCCAGGGAGTCTGCCGGAGTGACCTCCAAGCGCTGAGCGACACTCCAATGTGCCCCGAGGAGCACCGACTCTATTGCTTTCATTCTCTGAAGCAGTGTGTCGCAGGCTCGGGCTGGCCGCCCCTTCAACAGGTGGTCGATGGAGAGAGCCAGTGTCAACAACTCGCGAAGCACCGGGCCACTGGCCTTCCTCGCCAACTGCTGGCGGTGGTACATCAATGCAATTGGCTTCAGCTCGCCCTTGGAGTTCTCGGCCCCAAGCTCCTGCAACAAGCTGCCTTTCATAGAGGCCAGCGCTTGGGCGCTCAAGGCCCCCGGACAAAGGTCTGCAACTCTCTGCACGCGGTTCTCGCCCTCGAACAAGGCTGTCTCCATGTCCTCGAGGCCAGTGGGGGACTCCTGGGTCGAACTGCTGTTGCTGTCCGAGGACGATTTGTCTTTCGACTTCTTCTTCACGGCCTTCTTTGCGAGCCGCATGACTCGCCTGCGGACCTTCTCCTTGGGATCGAGTCCAGTGCCACTGAACAGGGCCTCCAGGCTCTTTGTCACAGCCCCCCGAGGACGCCTTCCATTCAGCTGCACCGATGGGCTGGTGGAGCTTGAGGTCGATGCCACCTTCTTCGCCTTCTCCTCCTTTGAAGCTTTGGCCTTCACGGAGCCCTTGGAACGACTCACCGATCGATGCTTCCTTTTCTTCTTCGATGACTTCTCCTTTTTGCTCTTCTTCGACTTCTTGCCCCGGCTGGGACTCCTTTCCTTCTTCTTTTCTTTTTCTCTTTTTTCGTCTTTCCCCGCCGGGCCGGGTGCCCCGATCGGATCCAAGCCTTCTCCTCGGGCTCTCAACGCGGCCAGCTCGTCGTCGGCTGGCTCTACTTTCTCCAAATTCCTCACCCATCCTTCTTCTCCGTCCTCTCTCAACACCTTCCGCAACTTCTTCACGTGGATGAGGTCCTCCGACATGCGATCCCCAGCGCAAGCCTCCTCGCACCGATGTAGCCGCAAGACCATGTCCGGGTGCCCGGAGTGGTGGCGAAGCAAGCTCTCCGATGTTGTCCCGGTCAGCTGCATGGTGAAGTGGATCCCAGAGTCCTGGATGTCGACTCCTCGGATCCTCCCCGCGACTTGGCAAGCTGCACCGAAGTATGAGGCCTCGGGACACACCACACGAGTCCCAGCTGTCACCTCTTCGACACCCAGCTTGCTCAACTGAGCCAAATCTCCTCTGTGCCAAAGCTCCCGTTCCGCAGGAGCTGGGTCTGCTGGATCGGCATGGGCTGGTCGTCGAACAACTACTCTTCTTTTCGGGACAGCCCGCATGGCTCTCCCTTTCGCCTTGGCCTTGGCCTTTGGTGGCATTGTTTAGTCTAGCGCCGGTGAGGCCAATAACGGCCTCTCTCCCGATGCTTCACTCCCTTCGAACCCCTTCGACGGGGTTGACCGTCCGTCCTTCTTGGTGACCTCGATCGTGGTCTCCTCCAACTGCTTCGCTCCCGACCTGTCGAGTTACCCTGGTAATGAGTTGGGGGGTAACTGGGTTCGGCAGGGTATCGAGGAGCGGGTGGCGGCGGTGGCAACGGTGGGTTGAAATGCTTGGCGACAGTTCCCCACACAGCTGGTCGTAGGCCGTACCTCGAGGGATCTCTCTCGAGATCCTGGGGGGTGGGGTCGAGACCCCTGGCGCTCGAACCTTTGGCTAAGATGGGAGTTGGCTCCTGGTGGCCAACTTCTGCCTTGGGCTCCTCTTCCTTCTCTTTCTTCTTCTTCTCTCTGCGACTCTTCTTGCCTTCTCTCTTCGAGCTTGTGCCCGCCTTATGCTTCCGCCTCCTCTTGCGCTTCTCCTGAGGCTGATCCTTCTTTCCTTCCTTCGACTCTGCCGCAATGGGGACGGTCACGAGTGGCTCCTTGTTCAACTGTTGCTCACCTTGGTCCTCCTTCTTCACCTCAACTGTCTCCTTCTTGGGCTCGTCCTTGTCCTTCTCCTCCACGCCAGGGGCCAGCGGCTCCCCGTCAACTGCCTCCTTGGTCGCAACCTCGGGTCCGCTTTCTCGAAGCTCTTGTGCCAAGATGGGGGCCGCTTCCTCGGCCAAATCCGTAAGGGCACCAGCGCAGTCGCGGAGGACGGTGAGCACCTGACTCTCTTGGCGCCGAAGCAGGAGCTGACCTTCAATCAGCTCCCGGATGCGCCGCAAGGTCCTGCAAACCTGGCAGGTCGGTGAACCTTCCCAGGTATGGCACGAGGCGCACCGCATGAACCTGTAAGCCAAAACGCTATGGGACCAACACCGTGCGAAGCTTCTTAACCCTCGGGGACGAAGGTACATATATATATATATATATATCTATCCATCCAACTGTGCCCTCCCCAACTGCGAATTCTTTCAGTCCTGGCCCGGGACGATCTGCAGTAGGATGCCTGGGGGAAGCTGTTCTACCTGGCGGAAGGATTCCGGTAGGTTGACTAGTAAAACTGACGTTGGACCATCCAGGTGGACGGCGGGGGGAGGTTATACTCAAAACTCCATAGGCCAATCTTGCCCATACAGGATCGTGAGCCGGGAGGAGGTGTGCGCCTTGCTTCTCTTCATCAGATCCCAAAGTCCGGCTATCCCAAAATCCCTCCGGTTAGCACATGTTAGCACCCCTCAGGCACCCCTCCGGATGTGATCTCGACCCGGGTGCAAGCCAAGCTGACCAAACACCAGAATTCCCTTGTTTTTCGGACCTTCGTGTTTGTTTCGGTCTGTTTCAACACCTCTCGCCCTTTTGGAACGGACGCCTCCGGCTGCTCCGGCCCACGCGAGGCGTAGCCAGAGCCAGACACCAGGCGCGCCACTGTGCGGGCCACGCTCAGCTGGCACAGGTCGTCCAACAGCTCTGTGGCATTCCTGGGCAAATGAACCTTCGGTCTGTGGTTCCTGTGGTTCCTGGGGTTCCTGGGGACTTGGGACCGTTCCATTTCGAGTGTCTTTCCGGATCTGTTTGGGCCAACCCTGCGCAAGATGGATATGATGCACGCGCAAATAATCTATTTCGCAAGATGAGGATGGGCCCCGAGTTGCTGGATCTTGGTGTATAGCTTGATGCCACATTCCAGTCCCAAACACACTCTTTGCCCCATTGCGTTGCAGATCCTGCAGCCTAGTCGCGACAGAGACGCACGAGGTGACCAATCCTGCCGCCATCGTCTGCCGGCACGACTGTACCGGTGTCGGCTTCGATGAAGAAGTAACATGCAAAGCGTCTTCCAGTTTCAAAGGGCCGAAGGGCCGAAGAGGCCCTTCCTGCCCACAAACCTACAAGTACCACATGGAGGAGAACAATCTCTCTCTCCATCGCCCTCTCCATCATGCTGACTAAGTGAATCCCTTGTTGCTATCTGTCTTTCATGTCCTCAAGGCACTACTCTCACGCAGTCTTCTTTGCACTTGACCCTGCTCGCCTGCCCAATCAGCACCCCGATTCGCCCTCCACCGGCGCCCCACCTGCGCATTCACCGCGGTGATCACGGCCTTGTCAGCCGCCAAGGCCTCGCCCAAATTCCGTGAGAGCACCGCTGGGGTCCCGATTCCATAGGCACGGCCTGGGCTGCCAGGAGGCATCAGGAGTATCAGGAGAGATGACAGTTTTTCGGGAGGACCGACCGTTCTGGACAAGAGTAAGCAGGGCAGCCCATGAGAGAGTAGACCAAAAGCTCATAAAACCCCCTGGCTCTTGGATCTATTGGACCTGACCTCTGCGGCAGCGATGTATTTCTTGGAAAAAGCCCCAACTAGGCTCCTGGTAGGGCAGTGACCTGTCAGTTGTTGGTGAAGCAACCTTTACAATCATGCTGTCGGTTGATTTTTAGATAAGGATCCACGAAGATCCCGTGATTGAAGTCTGCTGCACCACGTGAGGCTACACCCTCAAGTACGTGGTCCAAAACACCTGGGAACCCCAGGCCACACAGCCCCGTACCACGCACCCAAAGGCCTTGAGGCCCTGAAGGCCAAGTGGCAACCTCTGGCCCAGGCATAGGCCTCGCACGTCTCGGGAATCCGAGCCTCGCGCGTCTCGGGAAGGCGAGGCCGGAGGTGAGTGCGCGTTTGGCTAAGCCAAAAGAGGCAGCTATAGGTTCATACGGCACATGATCACCTTAAAAGGCATCCTTTTTCATGCCTTTTTCATGCTTTTCGACCTGGCGGTGGTCACTCCAGACTCACCACCCTGTCACTCTGCCAACCTCCCCATCGGCCCGACCGCCTCGCCTTGGCCCGGAGGATGGCGACGCACATGGCACCCAAGGCGCCACCCATGCTGTGACCGCAGAAGACCAGCTGGTAGGCCTGAGCGGTGGAAGTGGGTGGAACATGGGTGGAGATATTAGGACTAGAGGTTTAGGGCTCCGGTTTTTTTAAGGGTTTATATAGGGCCCTTGGGGGGTTAGGGTGGCGGATGTTTGGATTGGGCATAGGTGGGTGAGGAGTTCGGGTATGTGACTACCTGAGTACAGGAAGGGAGTAAGAAAACGGGGAGATTGGAGGTTGATTTTGATGTTGGTTTGCAGGAATCTTCTGGCACGACCAAAGGATTGAGTCCTGCTTAACATTCCAGTCAAACTACCATGACAGCCAACCGAACTGCCTGGCTGGGGTACTGTAAGCCTTGGAGGAGCAAAGACTCACATGAACACGAGTCTGTGCTATCAGACCAAGACCACTGGATTCAGCATATCAATCAATCCTAGAATATAAGGGGGGTCCTGCTACTTGTGAGTTGGACGTTTTTCCTCTGTCGTCTTGGCTTCTTAAAGCTAAGATGGCTAGCATGCCAGGGAGCTAGTAGGTTGGGCGATTCTATCACGCAGTCTGAGCGCGACATGCTTTCCCCAACATACCATGCTTAAGACTCTGGCATTGGGAAGGTTCATAGGAAGGAACCAGAGGGGGTGAACGAAAGCTAGCCGGGGAGGCGCAGCAAAGGCAGCAGCGGACTACCCACAGCAGCAGGAGCAAACCCAGCAGCAGCAGCCCACACGCTCACACGCTCACCGGCGCGCAGGGTGGAGTTGAAACCCAGGGGGGTGTCCATAAGATGGATTTAATCAATGATTTGAGGTTTTTGAGGGACGTCGACCCTGTCATTCAACTTGCTATTGCAAGAGCAACTCCAGCATCTCCAGCTAGCTGAGGCTAGCTTTCGTGAACAACATGGACACCACCGACATGCTTTCCCTGACATAAGATGCTTAAGACTCTGGCACCGGGAAGGTTCGTAGGAAGGAAACAGCATGGACACCACCGACATGCTCTCCCCAACATACCATGCTTAAGACTCTGGCATTGGGAAGGTTCGTAGGAAGGAAACAGCATGGACACCACTGACATGCTTTCCCCAACATACCATGCTTAAGACTCTGGCATTGGGAAGGCTGATAGGAAGGCAGCAGCATGGACACCACCGCCAATAATTACACTGCCAGTTTCACCCTCATCCCCTCTTCAGGCACTGATTCCAGATCAGCCAGCGAGCAGGATTGGCTGCAAGCTCTTCCTTGAGCAACGGCTCGATGTCCTGAGCCGCTCGCGTCATATTGGCGGGCCAAACCCATGAGTCGCCAAACCCATGCGTTTAGGCTCGGAGGGATTTGTATGATTCTTGTGGGAAAAAAGGTGCAATTTGGTATAATTTGGTCGATCAACGGAGTTTATGATAGGCTTTCCGGGTGATCACTGATCTACTCCACTCCCTCGAGCTCACTGTACAAACATCATCAAACATCCACATTTCTACACTTCCGGGCAATCATCATGGAAGTGGTTGGAACATGGCTCCTTGTGAGAATGAGTTTTCCGAAAACGGAGTGTATCTCAAACGGTGCTGACCCGACCTGGACCGCTCCACACGCTCACGGACGCACGGACGCCCACGGACACCCACGGACACCCACGGACCCCTCCAGTCACCTTCAAAAGCTTCTGCGCCGTTTTCGAGAAGCCTTCGTGCGCCGTGCCTGCCAGCATAATGGCCAGAGAGCTTGACCGACCCCAAACCATCTAACAAATCATCTAACAAACCAACCAAAGGGACCTAGCAAGGGAACCAAATGGGAGTTATGAACAAACCAACCGCACTGAAGACCGAACATACAGGAAGTGGTCGCATGATCGAGCTCGCTTCTACGACCTTAAAAAGGCCACAGTCTGAGAATTCAGCTTAGCTGTCAGACTGCAAAGTCAGAACATAGAACATGTTGACCTTCTAAATCATCTACAAGTCACCCATTTACCCAGTGGCCATGTTCTTGACAATGGCCAAAAGTTCTCTTAACAATCCAGGAGGCTTTCTCTAGTTGTCCTGGGACGGTTCAACGACATCCAACGGCAGTGTTGAGGGAAGTGATTCTGAGTCTTAGTGTTATCTACTTTCAGTGAATTACTTGAGAAATCTGACCCGGCCGCCTCCCGGAACCCTGACACGGCACGTGGACAAGTCTCCAAAACGGTGGTATACGGTGGCTGTGTGTTGAACCTTGGAGCCTGCGAAGAGGTATCCAAATACAGGCCTCCGAACCCCCGAGGTGAACCTTCTTAGGTTGAAACGGTCAGACGAGGTTGGGCGGCTCCAACCACTTGAAGTACTTGTCATGTGTTTGTTCTGTGACGCATCATGATAGATTCATCCAACGCATCATCTGGCTTAACAGCCGACACCAGATAGTTCTACTAAAGAAAATGGATATGAAGCGCTATGACGAGGCTGGCCCTTCGTGCACGGACAATGTTTTCCTCTGACTGCCTGACCTCCATGCAAAAATGAGATGTGTTCGAATAGGAGGCTTGAGAAGATCACTTCTTGTGCTGCGCCGACCCGGGCATCTTCAGATACCAGAGCTTCTTCCCTCTGCCGAAGGCTCTTCGCAACCTCCACCCTGCCGCTCTGTCGCTCCAGGCTTGGCAAGCACTCTGCTGCAGAAGGATGCCGACAAAGACCCAGACCCTAATTGATTGCAGGTTGATCCAGGTTGATCCTCAGGTAAATGGGATAGCATTCACCACATCCAACACCGGGGCGAGCGCCGTCTCCAGGTGGAACTCTGCATATCTTCGAACCGCGCGGTCCAAGAAGTACAGGATCCAGTCATAGCCTGTTTAGAGGAACAAAAGGAGCACATCTCTCATTCCAAACAAAAGGAGTGACTCATGAAATGGTGACACCGACAAATCTTCACAATCGAAAAGGTGCTGAGTTGCTCAAGAATTCTTGTGCCCAGCGTTTGCTCTTCTCCACGATCCGCTGGGCCTCTTCTTCATGCTCATCCAGCCATTGCATCTGTTTGGCCAAATCAGACCTAGTTGGGTTCGGGGGGTTCTTACGGATGCCCACACTTGGTGAAGCAACTGTTATGAACCGCAACTCTTATGACCATCACATATTCCAAGCACAGTAAGAATTTCCACTTCTTATCCCTAATGGTGACCAGTTTATCCAACAGATTGCCCATGCAGGATTTGCCGGTAAACATGGTAAAAAAAAAATGAAGAGTTCAGCGACTACTCTTCTCGATTCAAATTGTCAATCCACCCTTGGCAATTTCAGCTGATCCGTTGTTGTGTTGCGATTCGGTGAAATTCGGTCCCAATCTGTATATATATGGGCTCATATATGCCGTAGATAACATTGCCCGCACAGATTCAGATTATTCAGGTGATGTCTTTTCGTTCTTTCCGCAGCAAAGCTCAGCCACAAATCCATCTGCACCGGCACATAGTGCTCGTAGGCCCTCAACGCCGACGCGTCCGCGGCGTCCGCGTTCCCCACGAGCCACGAGACCCAGGGACTGCGCTGGACCAGCACCAAACTACCTGGTGAGGGCGCGGGCATATGTATATATATGACATACGCGTTAATATTAATATGTGTAATTAATGGGTATATAATATACGTACAAATATGCCTCGAGAAAGTGCAGTCCAACTCATTTGGAACATTGGAACATATCAGGTCAGGTGTCGACAAAAATAGATATATAGATTGGGTTGGGATCCGGTTGCAAGAGTTTGAAGCTGAACCCAGATGGATTTCAGTCCACAACAACCTGTGTATGTAAGCACCTCGCGCCACCATGGACCAGTCACTTGATCCTTCGCTCGATCCCACATCCGCTTCGATACAATCCGCCCTGCTCTGGACCGCTGGCCCACGCCGCTGGATGGTCTGGACCCCTTGGTCTCTACACTCAGATGACCTGAGGGAGGTGAGATGCAACAGGGGCTTTTCAAACCCCGCCATTGCCACAGATGTGGGGGCCATACATGATCTTACATGTAGGCTGGCCTGTCAGCATCTGCCAGTAGATCCGGTCGCCACTGCCAGTGCCGTCCATGTTGAGGGCATAGCGGGCTCCGGCTGCTGCTTGGTTGGCCTTGAGGTTAGACCCTCGGGCTGGGCTACCCAAAGTCCCAGAACCTTGATTCCCACAAGTCTTGGTTTGGTGACACCATCTGGCAAAAAACAATTCAAGGCTACATTCTCAGATTTCTCCTCCGCACGCCGTACATATGACAAGTGGTTTCCCCTGCTCCAGCCCAGCCAGGACAGATATGTTCCTTTAAGATCCTTTAAGTGGCCTCTGCAGAGCTGCAGCCCTGCCATGCAAACAGCTCATTCATACACCAACCTTGTTCAAGCTCGTCATGTTGCGGCTTGGTCACGCAAACCCTCGTTTCAGGGTGGGCACCCGGAAAGCGATCAGCAACCTGTGCAGGGTTGCCGGGTTGCTTATGTTTTGGTCACGCGTTTTGACGCAATCTGATATGTATCTCCCCCTTGTCGTCACAACGTGTACACCAAGCCTTTCGGGATCTTTCGGGAAAAGAAGTTGCTTGGCATGCAGCTCAAGGGAGCTCACCAGAGATAGACATGTGTGCACCTCCCTAGCTAGATTAAACCGGCTTCTGTACACCACCATGCTTGTTGTCCACATGAACCATCCGTTTCTTCCGCACGTCTTCGGCTTGATTTGCAGCTGCGGGCACCCGCTCATCGGTGAGGTTGTTCTCCACTAAGAAGTCCCAGAACTCGTCGGAGACCGGGTTCGATTGCCCCACGAACCGGGCGTCCACCTTCCGATCGCCCGGATGCAGGGGGACTCGGAGGGATCCTCGGATCGGTCATGTTTGTTGAGCAGCTGATCCGATCCCAATCGAACAGATACTCTCCCCGCAACGAACATGGAAGTGTACACTTGCAGAGAACAATTCTTTCCAGGGGCCATTGTCCACTTTCATGATGGTTGGAGGGGGAGAGTAGGGTCCAGCAATGCAATGAGACGATCTACTCATACCGATACCTCATTGACTTGACTTGACGTGACGTTCCAAACGTCTACTGCCACTTGGAGTGGACCAAAGGCATCCACGCGCCCCCCCTGATCTATCCAATCAAGAGCGGAAGGTAGCCCCTAAGGTAGCCCCCTAGTGTTCGCAAGAGTGGCTTCAAGATGCTTCAACCCACCTGCTTTGATCCTGCAACCACACTTCCATAAACCAGTCTGAAACCATGCCAAAAAGTCCAGATGTGAGCCAACTTGAACCAATCCAGCCCACCTGCTCCATGTACTGTGAGAGGAAGACCAAGCGGCCCCTGAGACAAAAAACACAAAGAAGGTTAAAAGCACACAAAGGAACAAAAATGGTCAGAACATAGGCCAGGGTCCCCTATCCGAATGCCAGATGCCTGGGTGTCTTCAAGAAATTCTCGAAGGACAAGGGCGTCCGGCAGTCATAGGACTGCAAGCACTCCTCCCATGGCTGAAGGCCCTCCGAAACAAGGGTGAGGCTGCAAGACATCAGGCAGTTGGAGGTCGTGCCCCGCCAGAAGAGGCCTTTTCCTCAGATCCACGTGCCAGGCAAGACTACAAGGGTATCAGCTTTTGTGGAATCTGGCACCTGGAGAGTGGGGAAAACATCATACCCTCGACAGCCATTATGTAAGACCCAGCCAGTTCAAGTCCGCACAGTCATAGGCACCCCGCGCATCGGTCGAAACAAATCTAGGAACACGTGAACCGAAACCCATTCGTTTCACGTCGCTACATCCCGCCCAACATCCGACATGCCCCAATGCCCCGTCGCTTGTGATGTTTTTCGGTTTGAAACTCGACCAAAAGTCTTCTTGAAACTCTGCCCGGCCACGCCTCTCCCAACTGGTGCTGGGTGCCTTTCGCAGGGCCGCCACACTCTGCTTCCTGGACTGTGTGGGAGAGAGCTGCCACTCCATGGGGAGCAACAAATATCCACCTGGCTGCACCGTGTTGTGTGGGTGCACCGAACCGAATCTACTCATACCGAACCTCGCAAGCCCAATAAGTTACCCCAAACACTGGATAAAGATTATAAAATTTAGTATGCTTGAGGCCAGGGGGAGGAGGTCGAAAGCTAGCCGAATCGCACCGGATGTACTAGTGCCGGAACGAGGGGTAAGCATCACAAGGACTGTGCATACACTAGGGCGTCCGTAGTGTAGGATAAGCACTGGTAAAAGGTATCAAGAATAGAGAGTCTTGAGGAAATAGCCCGTGTATGGTTATAGCAAGCCTGGGGGGAAAATTTACCACCCGCTTATGCATGCAGTAGGTTAGAAATAGGGGTAAACAACTTGTAACGGTGAAGTACAAGTCCTATGCAGCAAGCAGCAGCCAGCAGCAGCAGCAGCAGCAGCCGCCTGCAGCCAGCAGCCAGCAGCAACCGCCAACCAGCAGCCAGCCAGCAGCACCACGCAGCAGCAGCGCAGCATCAAGCCGCAGCAGCAGCACCACCACCGGCAGCAAGCAGCAAGCAGCAAGCAGCAGCAGCAAGCAGCAAGCAGCAAGCAGCAAGCAGCAAGCAGCAGCAGCGGCGGCGGCGGCGTCGTCAGCAACAGCAGCACCAAGCCGCAACAAGTAGCAAAGCAGCAGCTACAAAAGCAGCAACCAGCGGCAGCAGCAAACAGCAGCAGCAAGTAGCAGAGCGGCAGCAGCAGCACCGTTTACACCAAGCCACCGTTTACACCCAACCAACCACGTTCACACGTTCAACCAACCCCCTACACGGCGCGCAGCTGGGAGTCGAACCGTGGGGGGGGGGGTGGTTAGCGTGATATATCAAGCTTTAAGGCACACAGCTCATCCCACTACCAATTGCTAAAGCAAAGAAGAACTCAGCTAGCATGCTAGCTTTCGTGATAAATGGTGAGATCATTGTGTTTGGATGTGTTTGGTTCTTTCCCCTCATGATGTGCATGAATGCTTCGAAGGTCGGCGAGGTGCCAGCCCCAAGGTGCGATTGGTGCATAATCACTGGATGCTGAAGAAAACGAACACAAAAGCAACCCAGCGAGGAATATGTTTCTTTCACCAAGTCTTAGGAGATTGTGCTCTGGAGCTGGGGCCAGAGCAAACACTTGGATGGGATAGCCACTACCTGCACTATCCCGCTTCACTGGCGCTACTGGGCCGGTTTCGGTCCCAGCGGCTGCGGCTCCTCGTTCGGTGCCGCGTGAAGACGGGCACCGGAGCCTGGAAGCGGTCCTGACATGAAGCGGTTCCCAGAAATCACTATACTTGTGCTATATGATGTTATATGTTTGCATAGCAGTGTGGTGAAATGCTCACATAGGAAGAAGATGCAGTATATCACACCTACCAAACCTTTTGATACAAACAAACCGTATCAAAATGTCCCATTGTGAGCCACCTCCAACTTGTCTGTGTTCCCAGCTATTGAAACATGCTGCTTCCTCCCACCAAGCGCGGCCACATCTTTCAACCCGAATTGGGTCGAATCACCAGCCATGGGCCGAAGTCCTGATTGCTGGGGCTCACCAGCAAGTCCATCTCCGGCCACGGCTTCACAGAGCCGACGATGAACAGCGCTTCGGCCACTGCCCGAACATAGGAGCAGTCGTTCCCCTCCTGAGTGGTGCAGTCGTGGTCCTCCCTCCCACGCGGGAAAAAAGAGACGCGGTCACCTGGAGATGCACCTAGGACGAGGAGGTGAACACCCAATTTGGGCGTGTCTCAGAGAAGGCAAGGGGTGACCCAGTTCTGCGTGTGTGTCCATTCACCATATGTCTTAAAGATGTCAAAAGCACAAAATGACATCAAACATATAACTAAGCCGTCACATCTCGAATGGTAGCTGTGGTCGCATAGCACATATGATTGTTAAAAGTAAAAACCACAGAAACAATCATGAATAATGATCATGATGATGATGATGATGACGACAACGACGACGAGGCAGCAGCAAAAGTTCAGACGCACTCCCTTGCTAAGTCACAAGTGTTGAGTTTCTACTGTGCATGGAAGGCTCAGTCCCGCGTGGGCAACACTCCTCCAGGCCATGGTGCAAGATGCGAGATCCATTCCGGATGGACAGCAAGCATGGCCTGCAGGCGTGCAGCATTGTTCCAAGAAACGCATGCCATGGAGCATCACAAGAGTCTCTGAGTAAGCGAGATTTCTGGGTTGATTATCCTAGTCGGTGCCACTGTTTTCCTACTAATCCCACTAAACGATCTGGGGATCCCATCCCACTGCCTCGAGCAAACACGCTCATGGGAAGCGGATCTGCCAACAGCCCCACTGGCCAACGGCCCCGGTGCCTGTCACCATCTTTCCACTCACTTTGGGCCACCTGCAGCCTCGGTTCTTGTGCAAGGCCGGGTCGGAGGCGTTCCACAATTTGGGACCTCTCCCTTTGAGACCCAACCAAAAATAACTATAGATTATAATATAGGACCCTAGGACCCCAGGACACAACCAAACATAACCAAACCATACCAAACCAATCCCCTTCAAGGAGTTCTTCCACCAAAGAAGCAGCTCCTTTTCCATCAACTCCTCCGCTCCAAGCAACTCTTCAGACCTCCAACGCTTCCCCCGCAACGCCCCGAACTCCTGCTGCAGCTCCGTCTCCCACGGGCCCGCGGGGCCTGCCAAGCCCGTGGTGCCCGTGCCGAGGAGGCGGCGCAGCACAGGGAAGCAGCACTGGACGAAGGGCTTTGGAAGGAGGTCGGGCTCCTAGGAGGTGACAAAGCCCAGTCACATGCATTCACCACCGTTTCGACAAGCGGTCAGCGTTCTTTTGTGCAGCGAAACGGCATGGAAGAACAGATCCATACCGATCCCCAAAAAGCTTCGAGGTGAAGGCTAGGATTGCTGGATTGCTGTTGCTCCATTGGACCACAAAACGCCTTGACATCTGCAGGCGAATCAAGCGCAGCTCGATGATGTGGTCGGTGGCCCTCCCTATCGAAATCCTGCCGTTTCGTAGAAATTCCTTGATAAACCACTGGTGTTTAACATTGTTTAACCACTGTGTCGCTCTACGGCCCTACCCTTCTAAACACCCAAGGCTTATACGAAGTTCTAGTAGCCCGCACGTGGCTTCTACTCCCAGGCCAAGGGTCGAAGTGGTACAAGTGCCAGCAGGGATGGTGCTGATCGCCCGGAACGAGGCAGCAGAACTCACGCAGCATCACTGGGAAGTGAACGAGCCTGTTGAAGGTCTCTTCTCCCACCTTCTGCTGAGTCGAACACGGCTAGGCTGGGCACCGTTCTTGGAAAAATAGGCACGAGGCTATTTGCATCTATATATTTGCATCTATTTGTGGAGCTACTCCGCTCGAGCACACACGTTAGAGAGCCTAGAGTTAGAGGGTCAGAGGGCGAGCTTGGGGCTGAGAGAGCTAGAGAGGAAGACGCGGAGCTAAATACACCAACCGACGAACCGAATCAATCAACCAACGTCAACCAACGTCGAGGCCCTGGGCACCTCATGAGAGGCTTCCACCACGGACAGAATCTCCTCCCAGTCGCAGCCGTCGGCGATCGGAGGTTCACCTGGAATTTTCAGTTGAGGGTAACAAGAAGCTAGTAGTAACAAGTGCCACGCTTCTAGGAACAAGTGCCTTACTAGTAGTAACAAGAAGCTAGTAGTAGGGGAAGGCTCATGGCATCTCATGGCAAAGATTCGGAGGTTCGAGGACGAATTCTGAGCAACCTTGCCGTGGACGATGTTGCAAAATGCTACCACATTGCAGCGAAGTGGTGCCACGTACTTGGGTGTGTTTTTGATTGGATCCATTGTACAATTGGATTGCCACCCAAGTTGTAAGTGAAGCGCTGCGTTGGATGAATGTGTATTATATATATATATATATAATCAGCTCGGGCGTGAGTTGAGTCGGGCGGTGAAGTTGCTGGCTTTTGAGTCCGCAAACCTCTGTTCACAAGATGCGGTGGACAGGTCCAAAAAAACTGGAGCGTGGTTCTGGGGGCCTCAAGAAAAGCGGCAAAGATATGTAGAGCGTAAAGATCGTAAACGACTCTTAACAGAAGAAACACTCAGGGGTGTCCTACAATGTCCCGACAAAAGGTCATGATCCCCCGAGAACCATACCATCGTGTTTGGGTGTCCTGGCTGGACTACTCAGCCCACTTCACGGGGATTTCCAGGAAACCCAAACAGGATGGTGTTGGTGCACATGTATAGATAGAACCTATTAAGAAGACTCCAAACACTCCAGTTTGGAAGTTTCCTCACTAGTAAAGATTCAAATTCAAACCATCTCATGACTGACCAAGGAACCTTTGAGGTGTTCCGCCATGCGCCCCCAAAAGAAAAGAACGTGGGAAACTGGTCCATCTTGCCACGCCGAAGTCACAGCAAAAGCTCCGACTGTAGAAGCCGCCGAGCACTCCAAAGCAATCCACGCCCTCCCCTTTCTGGGCTTCTTCACTGCAGCACTCCTGACCACGAGAACTACCACTGGTGTGACTGAGCGTCTTTCCTCAACCTCTTGGAAAACCTCTGGAAGGCTTGCTTTGGGCTCGGGTAGACTACCAAGTCCCCCTTTCCTTCGCGACCCCCGTTTGCCACAAAAGCATACAAAAGCACACTTTGTGCAAGCAACGTGCGGTGATTTCAGAGTACATGGCGCACACTCCTGGGTCGCCTTCGATCTGATCCACAAAAAACACCTCAACTGGGATTTGCGCCGTGTGCACTGCCCCAATCAGCAATCGCTCCGAAATACATGTGGTCGCTCCATGTGAGTTATCGGCACTTTCTAGAAAACCAAACCATGGAGAACCTGAAAGTATGCCTGCACAATCTAGAAAAACAATGCCTCCAAAAGTCCAGTGGCTTTCAGAATTTAGCTAGCTTGTTGTTGGTGCCCCACTCGGTCCGACATGCGTGAGATCTCCCACACGACGCGGACTACGACGCGGGCTCCTCATAGGTTAGCCGAACGCTGATCCAATTGAGGTGCGGCTCGAAGCAAATCTCGTTCCCGCGCATTGCGGGCAGCTCGCACTCCCCACATGCAGCCAGCCATGGCGTTGCACCAAGGGCTGTCTACGATTGGCGCTGCATCTGTGCGCTGGTCCGAGGACGTTGCCGTCCAAAAGATTTTTATGTAGCCCTGACTAGCCTCCGTGCCATAGCAGTGGCACTCCCTCCATGTCCAGTCTGAAATCAAAGTATGTTTCGATGTTGTCACGGCCTATAATATGCCAGATGCTTTGTGCCACTAGCAAAACGAGTACTAAAACCTGTATATATCCCCAAGTATTCATTTAAAAAACATATAAAAATGAATCCCCAGGCAAGGTTGTGAGTTTGATCACTTCGATGCTTGTCCCCTCCTTTGCATTAAGCTCTCACCTTGCACCCCGTCTTCGGCGCACGTCCGGTCCGGCAGGCCAAGCCAGTAAGCCGCGCCCGTAAGCCGGCGCCTTCCAGGAAGGGCACGCTACTCACGGCGCAATCCGTCCAAATGTCGTTCTGTGACAGGGTCCCACGGACCGCCACCACGATCCACTGCAGGGCATGGTCTCGGCAAAGCACATAGACCGGCCTCAAGAGGCCGCTGGCGTTCCGACGCGAGGAAGACTTGATCCGTTCCTCTCAGCTTGATGTTCTGTGGAGGTTGGCCTTCGCCATTGAAAGCGGTCATTACAGAAAATCCATGAAAATCCTGCAGCAGCTGGGAATAAGAACACCGCATTGGTATTTACAATGGATCTGTTGTCTCATGTTATCTCATGTTCATTCTTCCAGGGCCCTACCGAGGCCCTACTGTGAAGTTTGCGGCCCTCATTTGGCAAGTTGATGCATGGGGGTCCCACTCATCCCACACCCGGAACATTCGCGCACACCGCCGCGGAACTGTAAGGTGCTGCCCTTCCACTGCGTCTTCACCAGGTCCTCTGGCAACAATGCCAGCATGTCCCGAAAGGCCAGGTCCTTGGCTCGATGCCGGAGTTTGGGGTGCTGGATCCTAAAATGCTCAGCTCGACCGGGTGCGGTTGACCGGGCGGTTTTCGGTCAACCCCGGGCGCATTCGAGGCATCGTCCACGTGCTCCGCATAGTCAAAGACCGCGCGGCTCACGGAAAACACGAAGGCGCCTCGCGACAAGCTGGAGGACCCGGGTGACCAGTGACAAGCCAAATGGTTTGACACCCCCATATCGCCCATGGCCCATGACGACAAACCGTAACTCGGTAAATCAACTCGGCATGTCCAACCCCAGACCGATTAAGTTTAAGTGCACAGCTGCGTGTGCAGAAACATCTAGCTATGCATGATTGCATCTCCCTAACACCGGCAGGTTCTGTTAGAAAGTTAACGTCTCCCCTCACACCCGCTAATCAAGTTTCCAGTTCGTTCGCTTTAAAAATCTTCCGCCCAGCCTATCGGCTGGCTTTCAATACCTTTTGACTAACAAAACCCCGTATGAATCAACATGGATCAACATGACGAACAGTCAACATGATCCTCCTCCTCCCAGTCCTGAAACTTGAGCCACCTAATCCTTCTGATTGTCCAAAACACCATACCCGCCATACCCATTGTACCCCCAGACATCCCAAACCACCTCCAACCGGCACGCCCCGCTCCTTGCGCCACGGAATCGAACAGCCCTCGACGCCCGGTGTAGCCGTAGGCCGCACGGCTGTAGAGGGCGGCCACCAACATCTCCTCCAGGCCCAGGCGCCCCTAGTAGCGTCCTTGCTCCTAGTAGCGATGCCCTTAGTTCCTAGTAGCGTCCTTGCTCCTAGTAGTTGGGTTCTATTGAAAACCGTCCCCCCAAACAGAGGATTCATCCCTCCGCCCAGTCTCCCTCCATACTCATGGGACACTCATGGGTTTTTACGGTGTTCCCAGCCACGAAGACTAGCAAATCTTCAACTTCAAGAAACTGTTGGTTGTTGGTTGCTTTTTGGAGGGGCTGTCCCCCAAGAAATTGCCAAGGGTGTATGAGCGCTTGCCATATTCAGGGGAGTGTCATGCTTGATGTGCAAAGAAGCCGCCGATCCAACTCACCAGCAGAAGGGTTTGGACGACTATGTGCATTTTGTGTGTGAGGCTTTGTTTGGGTGCGTTGTCGCGGGTAGCCTGCTCGACCCTACGTACCACCTGTGTCTACTGGCCTTGTGTCTACTGAGTCTACTGCTGCAGCGGATCAGTTTTCAGACAGGGGCCCAATCCTTCAAACGATCAACTAACTAACTAGGATGGCGTGCACCGTATGGTCCACAACACAACGACTGTGGCAGGTTTTGCGGCAGGTCTCCATGAGCATAGGCACATCATCCCACGGCAGGAGCCGTTCGCAAAGCTGCTGGTATCTCTCCTCCGCGGCAAGGAACATTTCCCTTTGGCTGGGTTGATTGGTGGTCACCGTGTCCGGGAGTAATCAACTTGAGCGACTATCAACGCAACTGAGCGACTATCCCTGTGGTAGCGCCAATGCTATGTTCGATGGAGGAAACTGGCCGGCAAAACATCGCCAAGAGAAGCGAGCGAAGAAAACCCGGAGAAAGCTTACGAGGTCTGATGATGTCTGAAAGCTGACCCTGAGAGTCCACCTGAGGAGGGGCCCGCCCTGGTGGAATCCCATCAACCAGGTGATGAACCACATTGAACTTCGATCGATGCTGTGAACGGTCCCACAGCAGCTAGTGGCCATAGATAGCTGAGAGTCACAAGTTTCAGGATACTTTTGTCACCGCTTACCATGGACATAAGCAGGCAGCTGGAACCGCGTGATTGTTGCTGATTGCCCGCTTGAAATCCTCCCATGCACTTGGAGAGGCCAAGTCTACCGGCCTTGCCACCCCCCCGCGAGGTCAAACGGCTCCAGGTCATAATGGGACCGGCGGATCACTGCGGTGGGGTCGACCGGGATCTCTGACAAGCTCCGTCCTGACCGCGGTGGGGTGAAAACACCTAACAAGGGAAGTCTGGAGGGCACTGGAGGTGAAGACACATCTTGGAAAAAATGACATCGAGTTTCTGTTTAGAGAGGTGTCAGTGATTGCTACTATATACCATTTTAGCTGATTGGTTTTACACTTGTCAGGGGTATCCCATTAATCAACTAACCAAGAGCTTACTAGGCCATCACGGTCTCTGGGGTCATGGTCCGTCCAAGTAGTTGCAGGTCGGAGGGCTTTTAGGGGAGACGATGGGTCCCCATGGTCTAGTCGGACACGAACAGAACTGATGCTTCGCGGGTCGATTCGGCACCGGTGCTAAGCGTCCAAGGCTCGGCCGATGACCTCCACCAACGCCTTCCAAAGGCTTTGCATCGCGCTCTGGTTGTTCTGCGTCGTCTCCACCGGCGCCGCCTTCCGCATCAGGCCCGCACCGCAAATGAGCAGAAAGATCTGACCAAACCGCAAGGAGCAGCAGAATCCAATCAAACGCGGTCGAATTTGAAGATTTTAAAGCGACTCCGTTGTTGAACTTGTTTGAGGAACCGTGATGCATCCAATGCTTCGATTCAAAACAACCCCCTGAGCTCAACAAGCCTCAAACAAGGCGGAGGGGCCATGTTGGATGAAACTCACCTTCATGTCCTGCACCACAGCCCTCACTTTGGTGGTCCAATCTCTGGAATCTTCTGAATTCACCTTGCTCATGTCCAGTGGTTGGGTCTTGCCACTTTCTCCCACCTCTGGCTTCGTGGGGGATGCCCCAGCACCGCAGTGGCGCCACACACGGCGCCGCATCTTGTCGTTGAGGCGTTGGGTGGCACGGCCCCCCAGGCGCAGCGCCTCCAGCCTGAGTTCGTCACCATCACCGGTGAGTCAGGCTGGGGTGGCCCAGTTCACCCGATATTTTGGCATCACCAAGACGACACAACTCCAACTCACAACTCCATCAGCATGCCCATATAGAGTCGTCTACATGCTGAAGAAAGAGGAGCCAACCGACGAAACGCGTGGTCGTCCGGGCTCCGGGCACTGTGACAAAACCGGCCGACCCTCGTCGTTTTACGTCGTGCCTGGAGGGCTTGGTCGCATAGATCCATCCCTCACAGTCGGTGCTGGAGTCCACCTGAAAACACGTGGACACGCGGTCAAAGTGGGCAACCCTGGTAAACCAATTCTTCGAAAAGAAATCACAGAATGGACTGCATTTGCTAAGGGGGTCAACCCAACACAGTACTAAGAGGCTCGTCATCGGCTACATGCATATATATTATACTATATCAGAATTTGGAGGATCGAACGACGGATCCGCCACACGCTCGTGGAACGTGCTTCGCTTGGGCGTCCGTCGAACGGATGGTTTTTGGGCACCCCGAAATCCATCCAGGTAATTACTTCGATTCGAGATGATTCGAGCATATGTTTCTCGGGTTGTTGGGCAAAAGCGAAAAGATGGCACCCATCAGAGCGCCGCAGAAAAAGCAAGAACAGCACGGACCATGAAAAAAGCCATGGCCCCCTGCCCACGATCCCAGTTCTCACCTGAACCACATAGCGTGCAGCCCGTGGATCCGACGGGTAAACGAGCTCCTTGAGATCGGTCCTCGGTGAGCGAAGGGGTACCTGGCTGACCTCATGGGTTTATATCTACTATAGAACAAGGTTCGCTACGTTCGGGGCTCCTGGCATCGCTACTAGGAGCAAGGACGCCACTAGGGGCTCCTGGCCATACTACTAGGAACAAGAAGCTATGCATGACCTGAGAAAAACAGAGAGAGATGCGATAAAGAATCTAGAAGAACTCCGCAAAGTTGTCAGCACAGAAATGGTTTCCAATACCTGTTTAGTAATTTTACAGGAGATTAACACTGCCACCTGTGTGGGGGTTCGCTGGAGGGAAAATGTTAACTTCTTGCTCTTGTAGGGCGATGACACGACCCCATATCTGGCAGTGGAAACTTTGCGACTAAGGACTGCGGATCTTAAAATGCAAGGGATCCTCCACATATATAGATATATATAGTCTATCCGCCATGGTGTCTTACGTCCAAATCTCAAAAACGATCAAAAAGGTTATTATATACAGGTCTCATCCCATCCATGCACCCGGCTACTCTCTGCCATGCCTCGAATCAAAGTCACCTACGGCACCATCCTTCTTGTCCTGCTCTTTCCTTGGGGTGGGGCAGGTTTCACTCGGTAGTACACGCTTGTCGGTGGGGAGGTGTTGCATCGGCAGTCACCGACTGCAACTTATCACTGGTTACAATTTGCTTCTGAATGAACTGCCCTACTGACGCAAGCGCTCATCCCGGGTGGTGAGCGATCCACCCGATTGGCTTCAACCAATGGATGCTTTCAGGAAGTTTCACTCCAAGCTCCACCAAACATCCGTTTAATTGCCCATGGCACAGGAAAAGGCTTCTGTCTCATCAAATCCCCCCTACGGCAGCCCCCCCGGCGAGCTTCACCACAAGATTGATTGCTTCACTACCACGAACTCTAAAAGAAGGCCTGCGAACTGAAGGGTGGGACAATGGGCATATGGCATATGTGGCATATGCCTCATTGTTTCATTGTTGATGAAGATTGAACGCCCTCTGGCAACAAGAGTAGTTGTGTGCAACTCTGAATCGCTCTACTTTCGGGTTTGGTACAGCCCGAGTGGTGCAGAATGGTGTCACGCTGTCATCCACAAACGTTAACCAAAGAAAAGAAATAGAACAAACATGAACAAACACAACAGGAGAGTCAACCCCTCCTTTCAGAATATCTTGAGTGTTGCGTCTTTTGAAGATCCAAATTGGAAACCATTCCCTCCAAGACCGTCCAACTCACGTGTTTCGACGCGTCGCACACGGTCACACGGTCCCCCCCCGCGGTCATCGGACGGGGCGCACCACTTGGAAGGGCGGCGGCCTCTCCTCGTGGAGAGCCGACGGCCACCATCGGCCACCCAAGTGGAACGAACAGCAATGGGAGTTTGGTCGTGGAGTGGATCGAACTAGCAGGATCTTGCAACATCGATCCGGTTCGCTGAGCTTAGGGAACAAACAACATCTGCACATGCTCCACCATCCGGTCTGGTCCACGACCTTCTTGTCCTTCACCAAAAAGAATTCCAACGGATGATGTGGTCAAGTTTACCCACTGATAACTAACACCAAACTCATTACTCCATTCGTGAATGCCATAGGTCCTAAGGTCCTAGCCTTCTTTCACCTCTCCTCGAAGACCAACTTCTCTGTCCAGCTGGCCGAGAACTCGGGCGTCGCTTCCCAGGAATTGGTCCATCCCAGCCTCAGCTGAAGATCTGAAGCGCTGAAACCTGCGCCGTCGAAGGCTTCGTGTCACTAAAGATTGCACCAGGTGAGTTGGCGCGGGAGTTTGCCGGGGCATGCGTGGGGCAGGCATGATTCCTCGAAGATCACATGAACCCAGCTCAATGACCCAGTGAAGGAGACTGCGCAGCTCCAAACACCAACATGGTTGTTTTTGGTGAAGTTTCCAGCAAGTGGCCCATTCTCCAGTTGCTTGTGGCCTACTCTTCAAAGGACTGAGCTCGCTCTTGTGACATCATACTTTGACCAAATGTCTTGTTGTTTGCTCCTCCTTTGCAGTGTCCGTGCGGCCCTCCAAAGTCAACCTGAAAACGGACTCCAGATGTGCTTAGAGAAGTCTTGAGGAAGGTAGGTGCCCTTCGCTGCTGGAGGATGTATAATTGCCAAGTGGGTGTGGCAACAAACCAGGTTCAGAATCCACAAACCCCTGTCTTCATGTTTGAAAGCCGAGCATCATCTAAAGCCGCAGTTTTTACCAAGTTTCGTTCCTTGATACCCGATGGGTTCGCAATGAAGGCTTTGGGCTGAAGACATACCACCCACACCGACGGAATCTCCAAGCGACTGCTGATTCTCCCAAATCGCTTCCGGGGGAAGCAGTCGCTGGTGGATCTCTGGTGGAGGATCCACCGTCAGGAAGGCGCCCGCCATGGCGAAGGCGAGGGCTCATCGCGGCTCGTGGCAGTTCAGACGCAGTGGGGTCGGAGACATTTGGAGGATGAGACAGATCTAACTGGAGAGCTTCTCATCATGGAAGAAAGGCTAGCCATCACTGCAAAAAGGGTTCTAACTCTATGTTAACTTGGTCAAGTCCGTATATACTCATAGCAGAGTCTGCCAGTTAGCCACCTGCTGTGGAACTGCTGGGTTGTCGTGTAAACGTTCTGTCCCAGGGGACGCTGAAACCGCGCTGTGGGCGAATGACTCGGGCGTGAGCATTCCGGCATCGAGGTGACTCCACGACCACAAGCATGAGCCTTCATGGCAGTTTTTAGATCGCAAGCATTAACATGAACCATCCAAAGGACATATTGGCCTATATCACATAGCAAAGGTATCTGTGTGCGTATGTGTGCGTGTGTGCATGTGTCTCTGTGTTCACGCGCAGTGGCTCTCTCCGCTCCCCGCTACTGGGTGCAGGCCATTCGTGGGATGGCAATTCGTCTATTATTCATAGGAACAAGGACGCTACGCCCCTGGCCGTACTACTAGGAGCGATCGGACGCTACGAACGGAACAAGTGAAACTCATGTTTTCAAAATTGTCTCTTCGGTCTCTTCGATGGCTTCCGATTCGCCAGGGGTGAATCCACCCCGGGTTCGCCGGTGGCGCGCGGCCACGGAGTACTGAGGACGTCCGGCACACGTCGCTGACGTCGCTCTTCTTCGACCTCTGGAACCGTCGATCATGGTCAAACGTAGACAGGTGCGAGGGGCATTGAGCATAGCTTTGATATATAATTGTACTTTATACATATATATATATGATTACATATGTATGCTACATATGTATATATATATATAATTATGTAAAAGTGTGTGTTTTGTTTGATATATTGTGTTATATCTATATCTTATATCTATTGTTGGCATTGAACGTGAAGATGCTTTCAAAGAGTTCGATCATGGGTCCCAGCTGCGTGGGTGCCGTCCCTTTTCGAAGACATGTTGAACTCTTTGAACGCATGACACTGGCATCAACACCCCATGCGACAAACGGACACGAGGCATGACACCGGACTGATGCAATCCCACAAGGCCGCCACTTCTTTTTCTTCTTTTTCTTCTTTTTCTTATCCTCCGACCATGGGGAGCTAGCACGAGGGAGCAAGTTGCTCCTTTTTTAAGGTTTCATTTCGTCAAGTCAGTCTAGTCTAGTGACATGTTCACTGGCTTATTGCAGTACAGTAGATTCAGAGTAAATGGCACAAACCCCGTGGAGTCCTTTAGATGGGGGTCCATATAAACCACCTCTTGGGGTCTGTGCCATCTACTCTCAATCCACCGATTCCGGGGTAGCCAATCGCCCAACTGCTCGAGTTCAGGCCATCAAGCTGGTGTGAAACTGCTCGTCTGATCGGGAAGTGACACGGCTTTACGACAAATCCCCATGGCGGTACTGCGCAAGATCTTTCGAACATGGGGTGGGTTGCCTTTGCACCTCATCTGTACCTCATCCGCTTGACAAAAAAGTTCTGAGAAATATTGAGAAATTAACTAAAAGCTCTGAAAGGTACAAACACAATTAGCTGCTTTGTCACTTTCTGCAACCAGCAGGATGGTTAAAGCAACACAACCTCAAAAAGCAACCAAGAACACATGGATCTACACCCTCCTTCCAACAAAGCGGAAGATAGGCCCCCAAGAGATTGTTTGTATTTATGTTTCCTCTATCTCTTGATAGGCATATAATGGCATATATAGTAACATACACGCAATAAACACACACATAAAATATATATATATATTTGTTTTTATTATTACTATTATTACACCATATTACACTGTATGATCCTTCCCTTGGTGCCTTCTTCTTCTTTTTCTTCTTCTTTCTTTCGCTCGAGCTATCCGAAGATTCGCTTGATCTTCGACTACTGCTCTCCGGGCTTTTCTCCTGGCAAGCCGGGTTCTGGGCAAGGAGCGAAAACATCAAAAAGTCTTTTTCAAACATCCTGAAAATGTGCCCCACAGGAAGTACCCTCTCCACAAACTAACCTAGCCCCCCACCTGCCGGAGGAACCTCCTGACAGGAGCTGGAGTTGGAAGGAGTAGTGGAGTCTGCAGTGCCACCTCTTTCTTCGAATGCATTTTCTCTTTAGGATCCTTCTACGGCTCCTTGACAACAAGCTCCTTGGATGTCCGACGGGTCGCCGCGCCTCGGATTCCGACTTCTTCTCCACCGGCTCAGCGACGGGGCCGCCCATCCCTGGCACCTGCCGCAGGTCGACCACGACCGATGGGATGACTGCGTGGCGCTGCCGGGGGGTGATGGCACGGGGGAACCTGCAAAGGTTTGCCCACCAAAATCAACAACAGAAGGACAAACCTGGGAGGTCAACCTGTTCGGGGCTCAAACCGCCAGGACCCACATAAGGCGGTCATGGCGACGGAAAGGTCGGTCGCGGTCATAAACACCCATCCTCCATGGGAACTGAACCTGGGCACGCACTGAGTTGGACAACTGAACCACAGTGAGAACCGGGGACTTCCTATGATTCCTATGGAAGGGTCAATGTCAGAACGCAGTGCCTCGGGAGCCTGGGTCTGGAGTAGATTATAGTAGATTCAATACACTATAATAATGGATCATGAAAGTCCTGGAAAAGCCATGCACGGAAATTCCGTGTGCGTGCTACTGCATTCCTCTGTAATTACGGTAACATTATTTGGGAGTCTTCAACGCACCCGGCCAAGCATGTGGAGTCTGCGTCGGTCTTTTTCTGGTTTCCGCTGCTGTCAGCAGTGAGAACAGAACAGGAATGCGCGATCGACAAAAACATGATGAAAACCCATTGAAAACCACTGAAAAATTTGCGGCTTCACTGATAAAGACTGATAAAGCACAAAATGATCCGTCGTTCATGCAGGCCCTAAGCCATCTCAGAGTTGGTAAGTTGAGGTGATTGTCGATCGACAGCTCCAATATACATGCAGTCATTCACCAAAGAACGGCTGCAAGGTCATCACTGAGGTGTCGCAGCCGCCATCGCCGGTGCCTCGGCGGCCTCCCCGGCGGCCTCGGGAGGCGGCGCCGCTTGCACCGCCGGAGCGGGCGCTGCTTGCGTGCCCTCCGGCGGTGGTGCTGCGCCCAGATCCGGCACGCCCTGTGCCTGGAGCGGCATGCCCTGTGCCTCAGGACTGGCCTGAACCTCCAGTGGCATGGAAGGCATGGGCGCCAGGGAGGCTGGCGCCACACCACTCATTGACATCTGGGCGGGGTCAACGGACGCCTTGGTCGGTGGTTCGACCCTCCAGGCCCTTGGAGTTCCGATTGCAACGATCCATCTGCCTGCGAACCGAACGGGAACAGGTTCGAAGTCTAAGTTGCGTTAATCTGTTGGGCATGCAGGGGGTTCCTCCCTCTCAACTCCAGAGTTTCTAGGAGGCCCTTTGCAAAATGATCAAATTAGTTTCAAATCGACGCCCACACTACAGCTAGCAGCTAGTAACATCGATGTCGAAGCATATTTGGCCGTGGGTCATGGCACTGGGATACCTCAGTTGACCGTTGGGGCTCCGGGTTTTGACCCACAGCCATTGGTCAGAACTATGAACCGTGACATTAATTCGACGATATTCGAAGTGTTTGATCGCCAACCGCTATGACTTGCGACATCTTAGCGACCGTGTTCAACGCCCAAGCGGCTCCCATACTTGACGCGTCCATTCCAGGCTGCATCATCGGCTGCATCTGCAGGGGTGGTGGGGGTGGGAAGTCATTGGAAATCCTGACTGGTTAAGAAAGTGGGTCATGGGTCAAAGCAACAAATCCAAATCCAATTCATGGGCCCAAACAAGCTATATATATATATAAGCACATCTAAGCAAAAAGCAAGTGCACAAGTAGAGCCAATTTGTGGCTTGAGACAAGCTGTTCTCTGCTCCACGCAAACCAACATCCTTCCGCCAAACATCACTTCCAAATCTTCCAAAATAAAAGCCACAGTTCTTGGATAGTTCTTGGTTGGCAACCAAGTATTGAAGGGCCCGCCTGTTGTTGAGGCATCGTCTGCATGAAAGCTTGCTGCTGCATTGGCTGCATCGATTGCATGGATTGCATGCTTGCTTGCTGTGGCATGGCCTGCTGGAATTGCATGCCAGGCTGTTGCATTGCCACCTGTTGCATCCCTGGCTGCATGCCTACCTGCATGCCCGGCTGCTGAACCGCATACTGTTGCATGGGCTGCTGGAC